CTGCCGATGAAGCAAACGTATTTTTGCTATAACAATCGACTGCATTACCTATTTTTCGTATGCAAGCAGAGTTTCGAGACTACCACTAAATCATTTACATGAGATGTATTCATCCTATTTGCTTTACTGGTAGTCTCGAATCTCTACTTGCTTTGCGAAAAATTGTCAGGGCCGACTGTCGACTACTAGTACGCTTGATTTACACGTCCGGATGAGGCCTCACTTCGGCGTGAATGACTGGATGAATGAATTACCAGTGTCCAGAGCCCCACGTACTAAATGACGGGTCTTCACTGTTGGCATGCTTCGAATTGTTGTTTTCAGGCGTATGGTCTCCTTGCTCGTAGCAGATGAGCGGCAGAAGCAATCGCCGCTTCCCCGGTTGGCTTTCTCAGTCTTCCCAGCATAAATTGACCCTTTTAAATCGTCAAGACTACTGGGTCGTGACTACCGGGAAAGTCAGACGGGCTTAACTAGCCCATCGCGATAATCGAATTGAAGAGGATGCCGTGGACACCTCCACTGGCGCCGAGGACCTAGCCTCTTGAGGTTGTTCGTTTCATTCCATTAGTCGGAGGGAAGTGCTTTTTTCTTGGGCCCTTTTCATGCGGGTGTAATGTCCAGTCAGGACTTGCCTGGAAAGTGAATTGCTGAAGGTCAGCCTGTGGAATTTTTGATAATCCAAATGTCTTTTCCATCACCCCGAAACGGATACGCCCTTACCATCAACGCATGTTTTCTGCTTTTTCGTCCGTAGTACGGCAACAGTCCAAATGTGTCTGTCTGCAGTACGTACTCAATACACCTTCATCTTTTTTCAATAATACTCACTCTCAACTGAGCTGGTAGGGGGATGGAGCATGTGGCAGGTGTGGGTGAATACCAGAGAACAAACACTTGCTATTCGCGTTAAGGCTTATATGCACACGAAGGTTGGCAACGATAATTGTTCCAAACGCCCTATCCGTCAACGACGCCTCGAATTAGGGCATGACTCCGTCGTATCCTGCTTGCCACCACTACCATTAACAAAATTCTCACTGGTATTCCTATGCAGTACTATATGGAGGTCGACTTGTCGGTAGTATACCGACGTTTTTATCACTGACGAACTTGATCCGAATCTCACGGATCCATAATTGGCAATGAGTAGCTTTCGGTACTATCCGTAAATTTTGAATAAGAACCAATGCATCTCGATTAATCTCTCTGGATGACATTGTTGTTGATATTTTCATTTCGTATAAAGGTGCATGATGAAGCAACTCGTTGGGCAGTCACTCCAGAAGACGACTACTGCTTCCCGTTGTTTTACAGTGATTGCTTTTAATATGACCTTTAGGCTGACGCATTCTACGAGACATCCTTCCTGGTTTCGGGTGAAAATAGGCTGAACCTTCATCCGGCATATGACGAACCTTGTAAGAACTGGAATCCATTCGCTGACAAGTTTCAAGTTAACACCAAGTCGATTGCTATAGCAAATACTACTCTGCTTCGTCAATAATCCCATCACAAAAATAGGATACAGCAGAGGCCTAGGCGCGTCAAAACTTGCCTATTAGAACAGCGACAGAGCATATGATACATAAAGCCCTCAAGAAGATAAGGTCGAAAAATTCCTCATCCAGTCTGAGTTGCATTTCCAGTTCCTCTTCCCAGAACTCAGATTCGCTAAGTCGTTCCACAACGTTCACTTTGCCTTGTGGCCCAAGGGCAATCGTTGCAGTGTGGATTAAGTGTTAACGTTTTAAGACTATATGCTGCACTGTCATCGTTGGAGTGTCGCTGGGGGTGCTGATGAAACCAAGGCGAGGGTGAAACTTCAGTCCAGTCCAGCTTGTTTGAGAATAGCTTTTTGGATGCAAGTCTATCGAATTAATTATAAATATGAAGCCTTTTCATATCTTTGTGGGGAAATTGAACTATCATTCATTCATCAGCTCAAGTAAAATAGGGTGAATACAGCTCTTACTGAGTTAATAAAACTGTCCTACATGCTATGTATTCTACAGGCTATATATATATATTCGTAAGTGAGTAGGGTTTCGAGACTAGCAGTATATCAGTGTAATGAGATGTCTCGAAACCCTACTCACGAATATAATTAACGTTTTCGATTGCTATAGCAAACATACGTTTGCTTTATCGGCACTCCCACCAAAGAATATGATATAGCAGAGGCCTGACCGTCTTTGAAATTCACTTATGCCTTGCGGCTCAAGGGTACTCGTGGCAGTGTAGCCGAGTGGTTAGCGTGTCAAGCTACCGTCCTGCACTGTTGCGGTT